ACTCACAGATCAAACCCTGAAACAACCTCTGAGCTGATCTAAGCCAGGGCACGGCTAACTCACAGATCAAACCCTAAAACAACCTCTGGGCTGAACTAATTCAGGGCACGGCTAATTCGCTGATTGAATTGGAATTGAGCATGCTCGAATCAAGGGAGCGACCTAACAATCTCTAATAAGTGCACTAGCTACTGCCACACCACCTTTTTTACTATCGAGATACAACATGACGGAAATATATTTCCGTCACTTCGTCACCGCTCCGTTGAACTTCAAGCAGGGAAATGAAAACTAATCTCTTTGAATATTGTCTTGACAACCTCCAATTTTGGCCGCTACGCAGGCTGTTGTACCCATAACCTCCTCATAACGAAAACCGATGGCTAGTGAGTAGTGTCTTGGAACGAGAATCCTTGTCTTGACACTTCATCAGCACTTGAAGTCATTATTTTTATTATGAAAATATATATCTTGATTATTTACAATGTTGGATCTTACACTTTGTGAAATAAGTATTAAGATATTATCAAAATCAATAACTGTTATGACACATGGGAATATAAAATATTAGAACAAGAAATAAATTATTTTGGTCACGTGAGCGTGTCACCCAATTACTTGCATCGATTATATTCTTTAATTTAAAAAATCACCAATCGCTATCCAAGATGGCGAATATAATCACGTGATTAAATGCTAAGATAAAAAACAAACATTTATGTATATTCAAAGTATTTACATTTTGAAAATTCTGACAATTGTCAACACACAACATCATTGGTTCACTAGTAAATGACGTCATAGTCTTTTAACTTATGTACAAAGAACATTAGTCCAATAAAACAGATTACTTTACGTTGGGCACGTTTTCCCATTTCAGACACTTGTCATTCTGTTAAGAATAAAACTCTTTGCCTGAGTTATATCCATATTTTGGTGTCTTCTCATGCGCAACCATTAAACAAAAAATAATACTCAAGAGACTTACATTTGGTCTGAAATGGGAAAACATTGCGACCAAGGTAAGGAGATCTATTGATAACAATGACTTAGAAAATCTTATTGAGAAACTCCTGAACCGCTTCCTCTGTGTGTTTGGTAGTAAGTTTATCTAGGTCCGATTTGTTGATTCCAAACTTTTTCCCAATAGCCTTTGCGAGTTGGGAAGCCTCCTTTAAAGACGCATTTACATTATCGAAAACTTTCTTCAGTTTGTTTTGCGTCTCGCAATGTTCCAGTAGTGCTTTTGCGACTTTGAACTTCAAGGTATTTGTCTTCTTGATCTTGTCTTTTAATTCGGCGAGTTTTTGGTGTCCAATATTGGAATGGATTTTTGCTTTACTCTTTTTTGACTGCAAAACTTTGCTCTTGGAATCGGCGTGCTCTTCTTTCTTCTTCGTTTTGCGTAGCTTGGTATTCGTCGCTCGTTTGTCTGCAAGCTTCTTTGCTTTTTTGCTTGGAAAACTCGATTTCTTTTCGCCTTTTCGTGATGGCTTCTTCGCTTTAACTGCTTTTATTTTCGGAATCTTTTCTTCTTCTTCAGCAGAATTTTCCATGGCACTTCCAGACCCTTTTTCGTCGCGATATCTTCCTTCAACTTTCTTCAAAACTGTTTTCTTTGCAACACTTTTTTTACTTGTTTTACCAGCTTTGGATTTGTGAATACTCTGTTTAGTCTTTTCCTTTCCTTTTTCGCCAGAAATGTAAGTATCAATATTGAAAAATTTATTCAGTCCTATATTCTCGATAAGTTTCTGGAGGACAGGCTTAGGAATGCGGTTAAAAAATTTCAAGCTTTTTTGATCTAAAGTGATATCATTTTTTCCTCTCGTGACGACGATCTTCTTAGATGGGTCAGCGGATATAACTTTAAGAAGATTTGCCAAGCCACCAGATCTTTTTACTCCTTTAATGACATGCGCTGAAGAGGATTTCTTCTTCCTTGGAATCTTTGATTTCTTCGAGTGTGAAACAGGTTTGACGTGTTTTTGAATCCTGTTTTTCTTGTTTCCTTTTTTGGAACTCCTTTTTGTAGTCGCATGTTTCGATTTCTTGTTTACTTTTCTTTTAGAACTTTTCTTCGTTTTCTTGTTTTCTGGTTTCTTTTCATGACGTTTTCCCTTGGAATGTGGGGCACTCATCAAATCTAGCATCACATCTTGAATAGATTCCCCATCGAGTACATTGCCATTATTGCTTCGTTTCACAATTGATCTCCTTGACCTCAAATGATCACGTGCAATATCACGTGACTTGCCACGTGACAGGAAGCCCCTTCCATGCTTGTTTATCCAAGCATATATTTCATTGGCGAGGTGATCGCTTTCGCCTTTAATCGTCTTAATCAATTTCTCTACATTTCCTCTCTTGTGTGTATTGGGTAGGCCTGGTTTTCTTAGGCGATCACGTGATTGATGACGTGTATGGTCATGTGACTGTAATCCTTTACTGTGTTTGTCTATCCATGCGTAGATCTCATTAGCTACTTTATCGCTCTCTCCTTTGAGGTCTCCAATGATGTGTTCAAGTTTCTGTTCTTTTTTACCTGTTTTGTGATCAAATAGCTGTTATTATTGTGTGACACTAAATGTAGCACCAGAATGAAAGATTTCACTTTGATTTCACTTGCGTGACAAGACAAGATTTCACTTGCGTGACAAATATAGCCAAACTCACCAAAACTGAAATGCATGTCATGCAAAAACTGTGCAGAAAGTTTCTATTGTTTGGTACACTAATATGGCTGCCTTGTCACGTGAGTGAAAACGTTCCATTGTAAGGGCCGTGAAGTCACGCATATATGCCTGGGTGACCATTAGCGTTATTAACACTTTCAAGAACTAGCTGATATTAGCTTCTGAATTTTTTCAAAGCCCATAGTTCTTTTTCCCAATTTGCATAAAGACTACAAGCATGCGCAGGCGTTTTTTTTTTTTTTCCTTTTCGGCTGTGAACAAGTTGGTCAGCCGTCAGGTGTTCGTACTTACCATCACAAACAGTAACAAAGAAAAATGAAGTAAAGATGAGAAGAAACAGCTTCCCTTTTTTCATTTCATCAATCAGTGCCATTAGACATTCTGTAAAGGAAAACAGACTTGGATTATATGTGCGTTCAGCGATAAGATTCTATGTCTTAGCGCTCTAACCTATCTGTACGTATTTGAAGGGCGTTCATAGGTACTCTAGTACTACTGACATAAGGGCGTGGTGGAATCACTATGTATCCTGAGTTTTCGTAATAAACCGATTGGTATTTTGGCAAACACACGCTAAAACATACCGTAGCACCTCTACCTTACCTAGTGTTCGCTTTTAAAAGAGGTTTGAATTGTTCTACAGTAAAGATAAAAAAAAAATTCGTGGTCGTGCAAAAAGCTGTCCGCGCGTTTGTCCGAACACTTAATACAGGAATCACTGTATTTTAAAGAACTACTGAAACGACTTATAAAATAAGACTTGAAAATATGGTCAATCAAAGCAATTGCGATTATTGATCCTTCCACACTAACTTGAAATCCGATCCTAGTAACATCATCTCCTTAACGTGATGCTTGACATGGGTTAACGCCTTCTATCACTGCTCCCCGTATACCAACGAAATCATTTTCTTTATTTCGACTCAAGAATCAAAAATACTTTATATGTAAGGGTTTTCAAATGCATGAGAATATTAATCGTTTTAAATATTGAAGAATTCTGATCGTGGCTCTCGTTTTATAAACACTTTTCTACTGCTTTCTATGAAGTTCCCAATGTGTTTGCGAATGGGAGGGAAATTAGAAATTCCCAGAAATCTTTATATTCGAAAAACACTAAAACTTAAACCGAGTATTGTTAAGTATTTTAACTGACAAATAGCAAAAAAGAAAATGAAGATTTAGTATTTTCAAATTCAATGTCACGATTGCCCCACCCATTGGAGCCAATCCTTTTTCAGTTCCATAAAATACAAACGAAAGAAAAAATATCTAGAATTCGAAAAGCATAATCTGAACGAATTACAAAAATATAATAATAAAAATAATAATAAAATAGCGTAATACATTTGCGAGTGGAAATTCTTGTTCTTTTGAAGGCAGTAAACTAGTTTACTCTACATAGTTCTTACAGTAAACAGAGATTTAAAAAACGCTCCCAACACAACGAAAAAAATAAAATGAAATAAAGTGTACAGATGTTTAAAAAAATCAAATAAACAGAAATGCTTAGTTGTTTTTATTTATTTTTTAACCTATTGGCAGACAGTAAATATTTAACATGCAAGTCGTGGATGTGACAAACAACGCCCAAAACAAAAAATAAAAAAGTCTTACCTATCTCTGCGGTGTTTTGTGCGCGTAAAAGTGGACCAAGAACCGATCTTTCAGGAACACCAAAGTCTACAACCGTAAAAGCCTCAACAAAATTGGAGTAATTTTGTGTTAATTCAGGGTACGCGAAGCCAATGTAGTTGGTTCGCGGTGGTGTTGTCTGTTTGGTTCCAGTTGAGTGAAACAACCTGCTTTCTGTCAAACATCGACGTGACGAGAATTGAGCGTGACGCCACTGTGCGCTCGGGTGATCAGATCTTCATAATATAATCCGATACGAACCAACGATACGTAGGCAAATGCGAGATCCTACTACAAGGAAGTAAAAAAAAAAACGTTTGTTGCCGAATTGTCCAATCTTCCTTTTTTGTTTTTTTTGTTTTTTGAATGGAACACTTGTATAAAAGACAAACACTCGGTTCGAGAAAATTAACAAATATTCTAAAAAGAGAAAGCTGGACACTTTGCAGGGTGCGATAGTGGTGAATCCAAGTTGTCTATAGCGCACAAGCTTCAACTTAAAAGTATTCCGGAATTTTTATTGGGCTGCGAAATTCAATACATAACTAGTTCCAGATTTTCTTCATTGAGCGGATAACGGCTGTAGAAAAGCGGTTTTCGCAATTCAATGTACAAGGTACATGCCAACACTGAAATTCAAATAGCTTCCAGTCATTGACTTCCAGTAATTCAACGAATCATAACGCGTAGTTAAGGGTAAGGTTTGGGTACACATGTTGTAAAACAATACGTAACGTATACAATGACCAAGGGGTTATATTTTTGCTCCACATTTTATTTCAATGACTGAATATTAACAAATAAAAACATATCTTTATTGTTAATAAAAGGTCAATTCCTCTGGCAAAAAGAGCGAAATAATATTTATACCATGGTAATAATTTTATTAATAATTGATTATCTTCTTGATAAATTCTTGTCCTTGTTTCGCATTAATTTTATTTGAAACTTCGATCACTTAAGTCCATACCAGTCGTACTTTTTCCTTATTACACAAGTCAATTTGATTGATATGCGACTGTTTTATCTGGCAAAACATTATGGTTTATCTTACAACTCTCTTTTTTATCATGGTAAGCTACTAATGCTGATAAAGAATTTTCTAATTTCATTAGGTACAAAGGAGGACTGGAAACGAGCTCATATTGGTAGGCGCGACGGGCATTAGTCACGTGTCTTTTTCCCGCCAAAATTGCAAATAAGCACTTTTTCAAGAAATAACATTCAAGTTACGAGGATTTTAATGGCAGTCAAAAATCAAGATTCCAAAATTTCTGGTTATTAAGTGTTTCACAGTTATTGAATGAGTGCAAGAAAAGCCATTATCCGCTAGCATACAGCAACACAAAAATCAGTGCTTTTGCCCAAGAATCCCCAAGAATTCCATGCGAGATGAGCTAGTTACCAGTCTTTCTATGAGCTCCTAGTGGTAATGTTTGTTAAAATGCGTCTACGAATGTTATATTATTCTTATACGTTCCAATATTCACATATTTTTTACTTCAATCCAGTCAAAAATCACTAAAAAAACATGAAGCGATTCGCTGTTTTTTTTGTTTCTGTCTTAGTTGGACTGAAGTAAAAGTTTCACTCGATTTATACTCATAACATGAAAAATGAATCCTATATTAAAAACACTACACTAAAACTGCTTGTGAACTGTCTTGCTAATCGTGTTAAACCATCTTGAGGAATCTTCGCTTCCATAGAAACCATCACCATAGTAACCAATCCAAGACATCAGATCGAGGCTTTAAGGAAGCGCCGTGCCTCGACGCCACGTCCTTTCTTCTGAGTGATCGAAGTAGATTAAAAAACAAATGTAAAGAAAAGAATATTTAAAAAAAAAATCCGTGTACTGTGTGTCTAAAGCGGATTAAGCCAGAGGGGAACTTTCCATAGTTTATTACGGTAGCAGCTGCGGCAGCGGAACGTCTTCTATGCCAAATGTACATCTTTGGACTGAAGATGAAACGTCTTTCCCTTCCTTCGAGAAAGTCCTCGTTTCGATTTTAAAAACTAAAACCCAAAGAGCATTTATTCTTTGCTTTTTAAGTTAAAATAAGCCATCATCGTGATCATCTTGGCCGCACGAGCACATTACGACCAGCGTCGGTAGGACCCGAGTTAAGCCCGAACCTCAACGAAGCATTATCGATTTCCTTTGCGACGTCGTAACTCAAATTCCGAGCAGAACTATTTCTTGTAAACTGACATCGAAAAGAAAAATTCTACAGCAACCAACCCTGACAACACTGTGTGCAGTCGAATTCATATTGGTTGTACGATATCCACTCGATTCAATATTGATTGGTAACGGTTCATTTACGAACTATTATTGATTAATTAATCCACCTCTATACGTTCATGCTTTGGAGTTTCTCGATCCATTGAAGGCAGGATTCTTTGTCTTCTGCCAGTAGATTATACAGACGCTTTGTGGTTCGAAGCTGAAAAATAGTACAGGAATTCATTAGTAAGGCCCTTTGCAGCTCAGTAATCACGTGCTGATTAATTCACTGAGAGCAAATGAATGAACATCTTGATTCCCATGGGCGAAATTTACTGGTGAGCAAACACACTTTCTACAACCTGTTTTGAGAGGTCGTAATAAGACTGTGATTCGTAACACACCGGTTGAACATATTTTCATCCAGTTCTTTACAAGTAGTTAAAAAGAATCACCAAATTAAAATAACAAAAATTTTGCTCTCCAGTACAGACACGAGACCGTTAGCCGCAAAGGGCCTATTTATAGGTACGAGTGATGTTTTGAAAGTCAAAATTGGATGAGCCTTTAGGTGACTTCAATTTGAGAACTTTCAAAACATCACGAGTATCTATAAATTCCGAATTGTACGAGAAGATTGTGCAATTTGTTGTTCATAATACACTCAAAAAAATTGAGCAAAAATTTGGACTCAACAGAGTACAATTTAGGATTTTATTGTACTCCTCTTGTCCAATGAGAATCGAGTAATTTGTAGAGTGTATTATAAGTAGTTGAATCAAGTATCAGACATAGTATCAGTATTGTAGTCAAAGAGGAGCACTTAATATTTTTCCCCCTTAACTCAAGGACACATCAAGGCATGATGAACAATAGATGTTCGTGCCCAAGCTAGACCACAATGCATCATGTTTATCAAGGTCCTATTAGCTATACTTACATCGAAGAAAGCATTCTTGTCTGCTCCTTTGGGTGCTCCTAGAGGAAGTATAAAATTACTGGTTAGAAAGTTCCACAGAAAGGAATAGAGGAAATATTTTTTGTGCATGAAAGAATTAGTGCATGACACGACACGGAGACAATACGACGTGTTATGTACCTGGTGAATAACTGCCTTGTACAACAGCTGTCATCTCTCCAAGGTCAATATAACCTGCGCAATGTGTTTCTTCTTTCGACTCGTAGTAGCGCAGCTGAAACATAAAATATTGAAAACATTAAGCCACTGAGTTATAAAATACATCTCAATCTTTCATTGTTTGGGGTGCCTGTGGTAAAAGGGTGGGGCCATACCACAGGGAGTACAGTTACTAACCTGGTTTCTTTGTGCATCCAGCACGAACCATCTGGATTTCCACTGCTTGAACAGATGTCCCCTCTTGTGTAAGTAGCCACAATGCATTTGCTTGTTGGGCACTTCGAACTACAATGGAATACAAAGTCACGTGACCTAAACAAGTGGAAATCTCAAGGCTGGTCACATCTAGTAACACAACCGTATGAAGTGTCATCCCGTGACATTAGTTAGATTTTGACGTTACAGTATCTAAGGGTGACGTCATCTTAGCATGTCACCTCAAAAATAAACTGAGAAGTGTTATCGAGCGACATTTGCCACCTTAACCTTGTGTCACGTCATCTTTGAATGTAACGTAGTGTTATCACGCGACATTAGTTAATTAGTCTGACATCATTATGGCAAGTGACAATCAGTTTTATAATGTAAGTTGTCACGTGATTAGTTAAATTGTGACGCTACATTTCTGAGCGTGACATCAACTTGGCACGTGAGATAGTGTAATCACGTGCTTGTTGAATGTCACATGATTAGTTAAATTTTAACGTCACATTACGGTGCGTGACGTTATCTTGGCACGTGACGTAGTGTAATCACGTGATGGTTGAATATCTCACCTCTAGACTGATAGTACTCTTAGCAAGAGAGGTTCCCGGTTGATCTGATAGGTCTCGTTTCTTACACTGCCATGGTACTTGTGATTGACACTTCTCGTGTACGTTGTAACCACATTCTGTACACTTCAGACCTATCAAGATAACGAGTAATGACATCATTAGTTGAAACAAACTAAAATCCCCATACATTTTCCTTCCTCCTTATGCTGGTGACATAGATCATACTTCGTATGAACATAAAAACCGTGCAGTTCCATGATCGTGATGGTACCGTGTTCAAGGATGGCGCGCTGTGATTTTTCCCCAATTGTTTCTAAACAGTGTTGGACGGTTTGGCAAGACTTACCCTTACTAACAAAACCGATAATCAACTGTAAGCAGTAGTCACAATTTGTTGGAGTCAAGAACATATGCTTCTGGAAATTATGAGGCTGAGAAAATCCTTGAGCACTCTTGTCTTCTACCTGGAGTTTACCCTGAAAAATATCAACAAGAAATGTGAACACTTGGTAAGGAAATTGGTGGTTTGTTCACCATACCAACCACAGAGTTAACTGTTGCTAGGTAACGAATAGTTACTATGGTAACGAACCTACGGTCCCAACGCATATCAACATTAAGATTACTATGTAATGTTTTCCCATTTCAGACCACATGTCATTCCCTAGAGTATCAYTTTTTTGTTTAACGGTTGTACATGAGAAGACACATGAATATGGATACAACTCAAACAAAGAATCTTATTCTCGAGGGAATGACACGTGTTCTGGAATGGGAAAACATTACGCCCAAGGTACAGAGGGGTATTAGCGGGCCTGTCTTCATGCCACCCAAACAGACTAACTGTTGCTAGGTAACTACTGGTTACTATGGTAACCTACATACCCTTAAGATGACTTCCATGGTGTTCCGTTTATGCTGCATCAGAGATTGTTGTTTGACCCACAGTCGATTACCTTGATAAGACTGAAACAAGAGATACAAGACCATGTTAGGTTATTATAAGCCCCAAGATAATAGACCTATATCATAGGGGTATAGTGGAAAACCATACAACGTGTTTTACTCCAGGAAAGAATTTAGCTTCAAGACCTGGCCTTTGACAAAGGAAGCCCACAACGTTTAACACCACAGGGATCGAGAATGTAAGTTTGATATGAAGTGTTGAGGTAATGCATCCCCTCTCACTGGCCCCTCAACACAAATGAATAGAAATTGTTAGGTCTCTCTCTTCATGCCAGGGTGTATCTTCAACTTCCCTGGTTTTCCTTCCAATGATAAATTCCAATGTGAACTATGAGATACCCCTGCCCTGTTTCAGACTTGGATAAAAAATTCAAGAAACTTTCAGTAAAGTTTCTTTGTAACCTTTTTGTAGTCAATTTTTTTAAAAGTTTCTTTACAATTTCAATAGAAGAACCACACTGTACGTGAAAAGTCACTGCTAAATTCCTTTTTCATCACCCAAACTTGGATTACCCTCATTTTCAAGTGCCTGGGGATAAAGTGTACGAAAAATACGTTAATACTTACAGCCTTTGTGGGAGGTGGATATTCTAAGCCTTTCCACGTCTGTTCCCAGCCACCCGGTACACAATCCGCTTCTTCCTCCAACCTACTGACTTCCTGTAACAACCACGTGCACTCGTCACGCGGGAATTGCGTGACATCTCCATAGCAACCTGTCATGCAGCGCCTGACGTCGTGTTTGTGCTGTGGAGATTGTTGGTCTTCAACTGTTGATTCTACTTCATTAACAAGTTCAGCGTCGTATAATGGACCGGTTGAAAGGTTCTCTGTCACGTAGTACTTCCATACCTTGAGATTAGAGATCTTACAGAATGGACGTAGAACCTAACAAAGTAAAATATTCATAAATTGTAAATTGTGAGTTATCCATGCCCTGACTTAGATCAACCCAGAGGTTGTTTCAGGGTTTGATCTGTGAGTTAGGCATGCCCTGACTCAGATCAGCCCAGAGGTTGTTTCAGGGTTCTATCTGTGAGTTAGCCATGTCCTGACTTAGATCAGCCCAGAGGTTGTTTCAGGGTTCTATCTGTGAGTTAGCCATGCCCTGACTTAGATCAGCCCAGAGGTTGTTTCAGGGTTCTATC